ATATTTTTTTTTAATTTTTAACAAAAGGCTTTCATTGGTCTTTAACCAAACTTGTAGAAATTTAAAAATTGATACCCCAAGTACATCACACACATGCGTGCACACATTTTAGGAACATATATATTTACATATTTATATTCTATACAAATACAACCTTTACTGTAAGTACTGTCTTTCCCACCAAAACAGGTTGTACATTACTCCTTCATATCTCTGGCAGACAATTCTTGTAGATGGTCCATTGGACATGTTTTGAACAAAATTTACTTGCTGATATTTTTTTTTTTTTTACAAACATCTGTTTGGAATTTTAGCATGTATCCACACACTGATGTGTAGAGGTAGCAAGATAAAGAGTGGTATATGATTGTATACAGACATAGATAAACATGTACTAATGTAAGCATGGGAGGTGGGAATGTGCAAATGCATAGATATTGCTGAGATGTTGAGAGTGATTCAAATAAAATTCAAGATAGGGTGCAATCATATTTAGAAATAATTAATAAATGGAGATTGTTGTAAGATCAACTCTGAGAATAAAAAGACTAATTGTGCGCATTAAAATTGGGATAAAGACTGGGGGATCGTATAGCAAGAACTGTCTTTTTTTTTTTTTTTTTTTTTCTTTGCTTCATTGAAAATTGAGGATGGATGATACAGAGTAAAGTAAATGGGAAAATAATTTTTAAAATTGTAGATAATTCCAAGAGATCCACAATTGAGATATATGAATAAATAAAAAAATTATATAGGTTGTATATATAAATCTGCCTGTTTGTGCAGTTAGTAAAATCAGTGGTAAATATACTTATTTATGGAGAAAGGTAATCGGGAATAAATTTATTTACATTAGGACTTCTGTCCTCATCTTTGTTGCTATTATCACAGCCTTTTGCCTGTTATGCTCTTTGTCCTTCTTCAGGTGTCCATTGATCCAGGCATCATTCGGAGAATTTTGTACTGGACCCTTTAATCTACGGGAGGTCAATTTTTTTTCATTCCATTAACCATGTCTAGAGATATCTCACTTTGTTCTTATTTAGTACTTTTCAGTTATTGCTTTCCCAGTTTTCAATGAGTCTAAGTCTTACTACCTGGCCCAGGGATTGAACTCAAAATTACAAAGAAATGCTTTAATCTACTAGGCTGTTATCCTGTAAGACAATTCTGAATTTAGAACTTGGAGCCTTAGACTATGAGACAATAGCCTGATGGATTAAAGCATTGATTCCTGAATTTTGAGGCATAGTAATTGTAAGTACTGGTTTGTTAATACATGCTCAGTCTCAGTGAGTAATAACTGAGCAATACTCAATATGGACAGCAGAACAAGAAAAAACTACTCCTGTAAATAAAGGCTTCAGTTGAAAATTCTCTGAAGGTTGCCTGGGCCCACAGATACCTGAAGAAAGCTGAAGGACACATAAAGGCAATAGTCTGAATATAGATAATAACTTCTCATCACAGAAATTCAGACAGAACTAAAGAAGCTGTTTTTAAATAAAAATTAGCCATCAGTAAAGTCAGGAAAAAATAATATGGAAAATTATGAATGAACACGTAAACAAACGTAAAAACTCATGAATGTGCATGTGTACAAAATGTAAAACTCCTGAACGAGCACTTGTATACAATGGAATTAAAAAAAGACATAAAAAAATTAAAATGAAAAAAAAAATGTAAGGGGAATTGGAAATATAATTATTTAAATAACAGACCCTTGAAATGTGGATGTTTCCATGAAATTTTGAAGTCGGGGACATAACAAGGATTAATATGCACAATTACAGTTAAGTAATTCTTCCGTATATATATATATATATATATATATATATAATCGACTCTCCCGTCAAGATTCGACATATGAGGTCAAGCAGATCAGTTTCAGAAACCGACAGCCCGACACCGGCACATGAGATTTGATTATAGTGGTGAAGGCTTAGTGCAGGACCATCCACACTTTTTGAAGGGACGAATACAGAGACCTGGTGCATCGAGTGCTACAAGGTCCCCAAACGACCCTCCATGGTTTTGAATTCAGAGTTGTCCTTCTCCTAGACCAGTTGCCATCCAAGGCTATAGAACCCAGTCAAACTCAGGTCTGCAATTCCTCAATCCAAGCTGCTATCCATTACTCCACCGTGCCTCAGCCGTATATATATATATATATATATATATATATATATATATATATATATATATATATATATATATATATATATACACACACACACCACATGTCAATTTAGTATTTAAAAAGTTGTATAATCAAAAGGACCATTTTTCTATTGGTTCTGAAGTTCTGTTTTTTTTTGTTTTTTTTAGGGTTGGGCAAATTATGAATGAATAGAAGAATATACTATGTTTTTCTTCATTTCTATTAGGAGGTGGATGTTTTTATGAGGTGTTGATAGATTTATTGACAGCTTGATGTTAGTAATTTTTAAGTAAAAATTACTTGCATACACCATGAACACCTTTTTTATATAATTTTTAACTACCAAGTAACCTTAAAAATTTGGAAAGTATTCTAAGTAATTTAATATTTTATTGACTTTTTGGTATATTTATATTTACAAAAATCATCACATTTATACACAAAAAAAAAAGATTCAAAATTCTTTTAACAATACTGGGGGATCGCTGAATTGTAGTAAGCTTTTCTATTTGTGATTAGTAAATATAGTTTTCACTCAATAACCATGTCACTTAACTGCTACAAATTCTGTATAGATCAGATTAGAAGTGTGTGCAAACAAACTGGGAGGATTCAGGGAGATGAAGGAAGGAAAGAAGGGTGGTTAGGATTGAGGGTAAAGGAAGGGATTGAAGGATGGTCCTAATTAATCCATCCAATATAAAAGGAGCCACGGTAAAGAAGATTAATTCGACCATGCCAGACCTTATTCCAGATAGACTAATCAAGATCGGATCATAAAAGGAGAGCGTTTCTGTTGAAGATTTGCTTGTAATAATGCTAGACCAAATTCTTCCTTATTACCTTTTTTATTTTTTTATTTTTTAAATACCTTCTCCCTCACATCCCCTACCTTTTGTGTTTTGCATTGGCAAATAATAGAGGGAGTGTTGTTTCTCTTTTTTTATGCTCATTTCTATTTTATCTTATTCATGTCCCCATTTATATTCACCATTTTTCCATTATTACTTGCTCGGTCAGTAAATAGCTGGTGTATTCATTGGTAGTTATGACTATAACTATCAATGATACTATCAGTGAATGATTGAAGCCAATGCAGTTGTCCCTGCATTTAGACTTATAGATTTAAGTAGGTGTAACTTATTATGCTACTTGTTCTATATTAGTGACTATGTATATATGTATGTATCGTGTATGGCAGATTCAGACATTAATAACCCTGCCAGTGTCTTATCAGACTACTCAAATCATATGCGGCACAGTCTCCAGTTATCTTGACCCATTCTTGTCACTGGATCAAGGCTGTCTGATGCAGAGTCCACAGAATGCTATGCAAGCGCTATGAATGACTATAAGCAATCATGCAGGTACCATTGCGCTTTGGTAACTATCTCGTCTCTTGTGACCCATTTGGTGATTGTCCTTGCTCAGTGAGGGAGCAACCACCATCTATCTCTGTTCATATTCATCTATCATTTTATCTTGCCTCCAATTTTTATCTATCTCTCTCTCTCTCTCTATCTGTCCATGTCCCTCACTCTTTCTCTCTCTCTCTCTCTCTCTCTCTCTCTATCTGTCCATGTCCCTCACTCTTTCTCTCTCTCTCTGTCATCTCCCTATCTGTCTGTCCATGTCCCTCACTCTTTCTCTTTCTCCATCCCTCTCTCTCTCTATCTCTCTCTCATCTGTCCCTCCCCTCTTTCTCTCTCTCTCTCTCTATCTGTCCATGTCCCTCACTCTTTCTCTCTCTCTCTCTCTCTCCATGTCCCTCACTCTTTCTCTCTCTCTCTCT